TCATGACCACACAACCACATTGCTAGTATCAGTAACACTATATAGAATAGAACATGTACAAACATCGTCGGAATGTTGTGTTTCATATTTCACTGTGTCGTATACTACGCAAGTCTATTGGTGGGTGTAACAAGTCCGAAACACTTTTCCTGCACAATGTGAAACTTGTGGCAATTATTAGTATGCACACACTATACGAGTTTAGGTACCACTGTTTATGTATTGAGATGTAGAAAATCGAAAAACACAGTTATTGTATTATTGTTCTTTGCGTGGGGTCATAAAATGAAGAAATTTTTCTATCAACTGCTTTGTAACACTTTTCGACAACACAATCCATCAAATTTCAAAATTCGTTCTTCTAAAAATGTAATTAATATTTTCTTGGATTTTGTGCGTGTTAGAGATAAATTGTCTCCGAGCGTAATCTTGTACGTCACGGTTGACGTTGTGATTTGGTCGGACGGTTTTCAACCGCCATTACGTTTTCTGAATTATAAATATCTCTTAAACCACAACCACGTGAAACCATCTATCCTTTTTGTCTTCCTTTAGGTCTTCGCCCTTTTACAATAGCCATCACCATATCTTGTTCAAGGCTAACATGTCGTTGCGGTGTACCCAAAGTAGCGTATAGTAGCTCTCGGACGGCGGCGATTCCGCGCATATGCTGTCCGCTAAATCTACGCCTAATTAATATCGCATCACTTGCGGCTATCTGTTTCTATGTAAATCCAGATTGTTTCCGTATAGCAGCATATTTCGAATGTGTTAATAAACTTGTAATCTCAACCTTCAAGTTCACGACCGTACATAACAATAGTTCATATCAGCGTCATTGCCATTCAGATTTCAATCCTCGAGACGGTATCTTGGTATTAAGTGTCCTTGCCGATGCCAAGGCCATGGTTGCTATTTTTTTTTTCAAAACCCAAAAGTAAATGCATAATTTACTTTAAAGATGATCGAATAAAATATTCTAGAACCGTTAAACAGTATTCGTTCCAATGATCGTTTAAACTAGCAATATCACGTGTCGGGGTTGTTATCAACTGTGTTTCTAGAACAGAGAAGACTCTATTTTTTTAAATTGTTTTTTGTACCAGGTGACAGTTCCGGACATTGAATGTCACTATTGTCTCTCCTGAAGTTTTTTTTTTGTATGTGAAATTTGCAAGTGCTAGTGCTGACACATGTTGCATTTTCGCCACAGAAGTCATATTCATATTTGGGACTACATGGCAGGGCTGTGTGGCCATCTCCCTATCAAATGGCAATTTAATGCGCTATCCTGGCGTCAACCAGGCTCGGTCGAACACAAGCACCTGCGGACCTTAACCAAGGTTCCCCCAAAGTCGCATTCGTTAGTGTATGAATCTCGGCCAGTGGAATTGGTCTTCCCATTGAGTCTGTGGCACACTCACCCAGGGTAGGGGTCGACCTATTTGATGTTCAGCCTAAGGTAGGATTTGGACTTGGGTCTACCGATCATGAGTGTGATGCGACAACCACTATGCTACCAGTGACCGGTCAGAAGACCCTCTTGCTATACCCAACGAGTAACCGTCGATAAAAGTGTTCACAACAGAATACGTACGTTAGTTATTTAAAATTCGTAATTCCTCACCTGGAACGAACATCGGGCTTCTTATCTACTTATCTACTGTTGCCAGGCAACCAACACACCAATGCGGCAGCCCATAAATTTGTCCCCATATCGTGGAAACCACACACTATAATGAGTATATGCTAACAGTCGTATTCAATTATTTACGAATGAGCTATCTGACTTGACCGGTCAATTCACGGCAGTGAGAAACATTATTGCACTAACAATAGATGATTTAAAGTCGTATAAATCATATGACATGTTGACGTGTTTACAAATATCAATAGCGCAAAGATTAATATATATAATTTTGGCGATTTTGACGTAATCCTTGTATTATTTGATAATACATGAATTCTTGTAGCACCAATTTATTATGACGCCATTAAAGGCGTCAAACTATAGGACCTGTGAAGTGAATTATTTTCTCCAAATTGAGGAGAAAGTTGAAAAATTACACTTCTCTAGTTTTAAAAATCAAACAGTTAATTATATCATACTAGTACTTAAAACGTGTCGTTGTGTCTACCCACGAGCCTTTGCGTTTTTAGCGTACATTATTATTATTATTATTATTATTATTATTATTATTTTTATTTTTATTTTTATTTTTATTTTTATTATTATTATTATTATTATTATTATTATTATTATTATTATTATTATTAACGCATTTGTCAGTGAATGAATTTGAAAACCAATTGACATTGTAAATCTGAAAATCACATCCACATTGCAGGCAGACCCATTGCAATAATAAAGAATACACAACTTATCTCGTTTCCAGATGATTTTCAGGAGAGCCCCCCCCCCCCCCCCCCCGATATCATCAAATATCAATCACGCCCTCTTTGGTACAAACGCAGTTAAGTAACCACCTGTAGAATCAGTAGCTAAAATCGTGATGATATGGTCACGTGGTTTTTTAATCTAGAAACGAAAAAGACCGTGATAGATAATTATCAGTAAATGCACAAATACGTCATAAAAGATACGAACACGTGGTTAATATATAATAGAGCTGCATACAGTCTGTAAAAAGGAAGAGACTACCACGGTGCGTACAAGACCTTAAAAACATTCGAACTTACGCCAAGATATTTACCGATTTACGAGAGACAACGTCGCTCAGATCGACCCGGCTGGTTGGTAAGTGTTTAACTGTGGTTTACAGAAACAAATCGATGACATTATGGCGTATTTCAGTTTTATAATACCGGAAATCATATTTGGGTACTTGCCATATGAACACTCGGATTAGACTCATTCACGGGCACAATATTGGGGAGTTCGAAATTCACCAAATCGAAGAATGCAACCTGATTATAGGTGGTTCTGTGTCTAGAAATGAATTAAAAGTTGGTCCAATTGATTGAAAATCACGATTTTTAGCGCCGCTATGTATAAGTATAGCTTATCTTAATATTTATTCATATGTGAAGGGACTATGTACCGTCAGCGGGCAATGACGTCACACATTATTGACCTAAGGAACGACTGATGAATCATCAAAAACAATTGACTTTTGGTTTGACGGAAAAAGTACGAAAATATATATTTATTTGAGAATATTTAAATACTGAAAAAAGGGAACAAATTAAACATCAAACTTCATGACTACACACTGTTCGACCCAACATGAACAAAAACTAACTATTATTAACGAAGTGCACTTTGATACGTTGTGTACCGAGATGGGTCACGCTATTTCTGTAATCTAACTGTGAACTATAGGGCGGTTAATTCAAAACAATTTTTGTATTTCTTTAAATAAATATTTTAACAATTATAGTCTAAATTGACATAATTCCCACAGATCATAAGAAAAATTACAAAAGTTGACGGTGACGCTGAAAAGGGTAGTCGTCATGCTAACACACACGATTCTGTAAAGCAAGATAGCGACGCAAACCGATTTGAAAAATACATACGGAACTCGTCATGTTTACTTACCTGCTGGTTTTAAATAAACAACCCGTGTAATTCCTGACCTTTCACCAATATACTGTAAAACCAATGTTATTTTACATGTTCACGTAGATTAATTCAGCTGATTAAAAATTATAACCCAATGAAAAATTAATACATTTACAGTATTCATTCGAATAATATTAAATATAGCTTGATTTTCAACTCGTTTTTTTTTCAGATAACGCGAAATACTCGATATTTACAGAAAGCTGAAATATTTATTAATAATCATAAACCATGACAACGGAAGTACATACGAATGGCGTGATACTCGAGGGGATGAATAACCCGGCGTTGGATGCAGATGCAGATGATGATGATGACTCCCGTTCTACGAACAGTATCCCAAATGTAGAATATGAAGAAGAAGCCGAACCGTTTCTTTGTGGCTGGTTTTCCATAAGACCAAAATGGTTGCAGAGATTTAACACTGCTCCTGGGCTTGCCTTGGCAGTGTCGTTATTGATGTTTGTACAGGGCATGGCGGTTAGCGGATTTGCGTTCGTTAGTTTGACTTCAATCGAGACGCGATTCCAACTGTCCAGTACCGCAACGGGGTTGATCCTCAGCACGTACGATATAACAGGCTTGATCGCCGCTCCTATCGTGTCTTATTTTGGAGCCATGCGGAACAAACCCAGATGGCTCAGTGTAGGTGCAATTATAATGGGTTTCGGATTCTTTATCTGGACTTTGCCACATTTCACTACAGGGGACTACGGATACGAGGTGAGCCAAATGTACGAACCGATCTGCGACTTGTCTGACGACAACTCGACGTTTGTAGAGATATGCGACGACGAGTGGACAAGCCTGTCTTATTACTTCTGGGTCTTCGTTATAGCACAAGTGATTGTCGCCATTGGTGCATCGCCAATATACAACTTGGGCCTTGCGTTCGTTGATGAGCATGTCAGCACCAGGGACTCCGGTTGGTACGTAGGTGAGTACAGCCCATATTTATGGGGGGGGGGGGGAGCGGCTGTATGCATTGTATACCCAAACGACGAATGTGGAAAAAATAACGTTTATGATAAATTCAGAGAATAGTTTCAAGTTCCTCATAAATCATTTTCCCAATTTCTAACAGCAGTGGTTATGATGTCATACTTTACCCATGATCCTTTGCTGAAGAATCAAGATGGTGGACTACATAAACTGACGAAAAGTTGAATATCTAGAAATTGAAGGAAAAGTGATATAAAAAACCCTGTAAATTGCATTATCTTGTATTTTCCGAGCTCTTTCATTTGGGAATATAATGTTCTTAGCCTTATTTTCTCCTTTAACATAAAACAGAATTTTTTTGAACTCGTTCAAGGAAAAAACCTGTGATTTATAAACGACTTTGTGAACAAATACTATATAAACAGAAAGAGGAAAATTTTTTGTTATATTAAGATAGTGAAAAAAATCTTTAAATTTAACTACATATCATAAAAAACACACACACAGTATTTCAGGTTTAATTGTGCACAATCTACTGAGACCAGGTCATATAAAACAATATCCCAATGAAACAACGTGCCAACAAGTTGCACCAGTATATTTAAATATATTTAATTTCGGTTTTAATAATATGCCCTATACTAATACCCATAATAACTTTATGAAATTAAAGTAAATATAAATTGTGTATGTCTACATAATGAAAGAATGTGGTCAAAATATTCCTCTTATTTTTAAAATATTATATATAAGTTCCAATATTGTGTCCTGTACTCACTCAGGTAAAACATTATGAAAAGAAAGAGATGACTCATTTTTTAGAAACTCGTATTTAGATAATAAAATAAAAATTATATGTTGAAAACAGTAAGTTTAAAACACAGTTTATTTTGAATATCTTTTCTCATACCCTACCTTGAAAATTGCGTTCAACAGGTTTACATAGAAGATTTCGATGAACAAAAACGGAGTTATGGCTGTATATTTGTATTCAGAAATGTACAAATCGCACATTTGTGTCCTTGATTTCGAGTATTTTGCTCCAAAGTATTGCTCTGCATGCGAGTAACCGTATTGATAGTTGTGACTGTATGTATTTAATAAAAAAAGTTGCATTGAGGATGTGAACTTGGAACCCCGATCTGACGGTTATTGACACATAACTTATACAGACAATGTTGTGGTTAAACAGTTAGTTAAGAGAATCTCTATCATGAGGTATGACGATTTATTTTGATTTCAGTAAAGCCGACAATACCAAACTACTGCAAGAGTGCAATATAATCGCAAAAACACAACACAATCAAGAGGAAGAGCGTGTCACCTGTTTTAATCATGTGGCAGTTTTCCAGTCACGCCACTAAGGTCACAGGTGGCATATATTTACTGAACCGACTATTAAACCGCCTTATGCACAATTCACATGACTCCAATGATGACCTAGTGCTCAATACAAATTAAATGACGATACCTTGACTCTGAGCCAGTAGTCACGTGACCATACATTGCTTCAATGTTTATACGCGAAGAAAGGTATTCATTAACATAAATATGCAAAATAGCATATGTTACGTAAGCAGCTGCCGCTGGCAAATTTGTCATGTCTGTGCGATGTAGTTGTGCGTACGTTGCTATTCGGCAACGATTATTTTAACCTATCAAAATCTCTGGACAAAATGCTATTGCAAGAGGCAACTATATTGTAATCCAGACATGTCAAGAACGCGCCGTTGCAATTTAATTTTGCTTCCCCCTTTTTGATCGTGTTATTATTACTATCCCCCAAAAATAAGAGAAAATAATGCTTATATACTATAATAGCACAATATTGCACAATTACCCTCATACATGTAGGAATTGTGCAGTATCTTGTGATACTGTATACCCGCTTTTGGCAGGGTGTGCTGGTTATTGCTATTGCTTAGTTTAATTAGAATCAGTCACCAATTAAAGTGCTGATTGGAAGACGTTCAAAGCTGCAGACCAGTAAAATAACAGAAGAAGAACATTGACAGCAGACTGTAGAACATAATACGCTGCATTTGTTTTTGTTGCAGGGGTGACTCATGCATTTGCTGTACTTGGACCAGTTACCGGATTCATTCTGGGCGCAGTGTTCCTGTCGATTTGGACTGATATCAAGAATGCTGACAGGTGAGAAAAAAAAAAACTTCCACATACTCCTGACATCATATTGATCACGTTGCGCGTGTGAAAACAATACCTACTTTATCGCTTTGTAATCCACGCAGTATAAGTGCGACACCTTCTAATATGATGTCTGGTGTATAGCTTGTTTATTTTTTAATTTATTCATGTGTGTTTATTACTCGAACAAATTGTATCTCAACCTAGAAATGGGACATCTGTGTGTACATATTTGCTCCAATAGAATCACTCAGGTGACTACACTTCGATTACAATTACCCTTGATACTTCATAACAAACTCCATATATTATTGTATATATCTGACATTGACAGCCGTATATCGTTCGACTCAGCCTGCTACCAAATTTGTTATTGGAAAGTAAAGTTAATATGAGCAGTTTCGTCAAACACAATGTGTGTTAATTGGCGTCCGAGATGTCGTGCTGATGTCACCCAGGATACTGCTCGTTATTTTCAATATCTACACACAAGTCAATTGGTTAGGCCTACCGTCTGCTCTGTACCGTCTGTGCCCCAAGCACACCCGCCGCTAACTCTTTCTCTAATCAACTTACTCAGCGAAAACATATATGAGTGAATCAATTGAAGTCTCTGACATAAACCCCACCCTTCGCTAGTTGTACTAGCCAATTACATTGTAATGACGTAACATCTTCTCATGATTAAATTATTCACAGTCATTCCCGTTAACATTATTAATAGCACATGACATCATAGTTAGAATTGTCAAACTGACATGCTGACCGAGCGTGTTAGTTTGTATGTATCAACGGCGACCTCGGGAGGTCACCTTCCGATTATATTTCAAGATTACATATAACAATAGCCGTTTAATAAATAGATTCGCACAGAGTCAATCAATAGACCAGAATAGCATTTAAACCAAATCTGATAAGTGCCCACAGCAACCGGTCAATTCTCACTATGATATACATTATCCATTATTCAAATTTTCCACGTCAACACATGTTAACTATGGGCGTTGTTGCAATGGTTGAAAAATTAGTAAATACGTGCATGACACAACGCATTAATCTTAATAGTAATGTGTTACCAACGGACACTGGTATCATAGTTTTTGTGACAGACATTGTGATCGGTAGACCAGAATTCAAATCTTACCTCGGATTAAATATCAAGAAAGGGTCGAACCCTACCCTGGGTGAGTGTGCCACAGATTTACCGAGAATGATATATCTACACTGGCCGAAGTTAAATCACTCACGGCTTTGGAGGATCCCTGGTGTCTGTATTCGACCGTTCCATTAAATATTCATAATGTCATTATGTTAGAAAGATGGTCTGGATATGCAATATGGTTTCTGTGGCAATATGCGCTATATTCACCACTTGTGCAATTTACCCATTCAAAATCAGAAAAGACTAAATTACATTCGATATCAAGTGATTTTTTACCAAATCAAAGCTTCAACTCAATTGGTATACATCTTTTTGTCTACGATATATTTTTAGTGACTTCTGAAATAGACATTCAAAACGGGAATTTGTGTACGCGGACAAATTGCGGACACAAAAGAATACATTGCATTCAAACATTATGACAAAACACAAAATTGATCTCATAACTATAAAAACCACAATAATTTGTTCAAGTAAAAAAATTGGAAACAATTGAGAAAAGAATGAACATCCTAGTTCTGAATATTAGCGTCACGTTGCACAAAAAGCTTCTGGCATGACCTTCTTTTTTTATATTATAAGATAGTGGATAGGAATTTGCGCCTTTGGCATTAAACACAACCTGTGACCCTAAACAAACATGTATCTGGTCATGGTCAACGTCATGGTACTTGACATAGATTGATTATCAGACCGCCGTCATATATATGACAAATATCAATAAACTGGCCATAGTTCAACTTCCACGTGCCTCTCAGTATGTCTGGACCCGGCCGAAAACGTAGCAGATGAACTTCTTACTTATAGTCGGAAAATTGTTTTAATGGCTGATTTCATTTTATCTACTACAAAATAGTCAGATAATTTTTTATCAGATTTAAAATTCCATAAAATTAATTCAGAATTGTCTTATTAAGGTTTAGATGCGTGGTTACTCGCAGCCCTAAAAAGGTTTTTTGCATTTTTATATGACGATAGCCTTGGACTGTCTTTACAAATTCCACAGCTGTACCATAAGTAGGACTTACTAAAAGAGCTCAAAAACACACAATGTAAACAACGTGGATGGTCTTTCCTCGCAAAACACACAATGCAATGTGAATAATTCAAATTGAATGAACAAAAACTTTGGAAGATATTTAAGTTTTAACACCCTTCATCAACTTACAGCAGAAAACAACACGAAGATAATGTCAACATACACGCATACCTTAGTGTTGGGCTATTTTAATATGTTCTGCTTGCGATAAAGCTCTGAAATGTTAACAGTGTTTAGCCATTACTGTGTGAATATATAAACATCAGTAATATAATTTGAGCTCTCCGAGAATCTACACCTTTATGTGAATAAAAGCCATAAAATGCAAGTATTCATGAGTCTCTTTTCAAAAATGGCACGTCTGAATGTGTAAATACTGCCTTGTTCCAGTGTTATATATATGTATACTTATTAGTGGGATTTTAAACCGTGCTTTGCAATATGCAATTGTATAGTTATAAATATGGCCGTACACATGTCTGTGGAAATCCGTTGTGTCAAAACATCCAAAACCATTCTGCTAGATGTCAAAAACATTTGATACCATATATAATTGCAAATTGTCAATATTTGGTATCAGAGTCGGAGCGTTCAACACATTTATGTAAATAACAACCTGCCTAATACATCTGCTGTTCTTATTGGAGTAAGCCCATTTGAACAGATGTTTCCTAATAATTTTTATAAATGATCTACCATTGAATTGCAATGTTTATGCAAAGTAGTAGTAGTGACAACAACAACAAACACTCAAATCATTTTAAGATGTTTAAAAACAATGCATGCTAGTTACGTCTCTGTTTTCTATGTAAAAACGCAAGGAAGAACAAACATAAGAAAGATATTGTTGAACATTAATTTTGCAAAACAATTTTGGTGGAAACAATGCTTTTAAGTAAAGGCCCTGTTTCCGTTGTACTCACGCCGTGGGCGAGATAAAACCAACACTATTTTAAGTGTGCGGGCGTATCCGGCTAGACTATAGGATTAGTCATCGACATGAGTTTATGCTAGTATCTCCATTCGACTGACACCATTATCGCAGTATACGAATTAACAACACTGTACTGACACTGTTCAGATTAACCGTTTATCTAATACGTGATCATACATATTAAATGACACTTTGTTTTTGTTCATCTAGTGTTACCATAACTCCGGATGATCCAGCGTGGGTTGGTGCATGGTGGCTGGGATTTCTGTTGTCATGGATACTCGCGTGGTTGGTTTCAATACCAATCGGGGCATACCCACCTGAACTTCCAGGTAAGAATGTTATTTAATTGGGATAGTTCAAATGACGACTTCGGTTTGATTGCTGTCAGAGCTGCTCCCACTAAGTTGGGTATGTGATGGGAATCCTATAATTAACGATGTAGAATGGACATGAATATGTCATGTTTAATACTGATATTTAATATTTTATATGTTTTGCGGCACATAACCTAATATTCATATAAAAAAACAGTAACATCTTCTAATAAGCATCATCGCTGATTGATGATACGAAATAATCACTACACGCGTGTTAGGGATTTTCATGTACCCATTAAACCAATGCAATGCAATGTGCTGCAAAAAACAACATGTTTAGTGTACAATAAATCTTAATTTCATCCGCAACAATTTCATCAGCCGTATCAAATAATATAAGCTTTCCTACACATTACATCATTAAGTAGCAAAATTGACTCTAGAAGATCACGTTTTAAGTCTTCTTAACGAAAATTGATTAAATAATTATATGTATAAAAATAGACAATTTAGACATAAATATCTTGAGCGTCATACAGGGTACTTTGTCAGTTGCCGTTCCATATAAACGTTAACAAATCGAGTAACCTTATCTGATAAGCAAATTGCATGCAGAACTTCTCGAAACGATACGTCTTATTCACACTAAATATACAAATGGGTAGAGACACAAAACTATGTGTCACTCTTTCACTGATTTACGGTTTGGTATATTATTTCTATTTAAATTTATATTAACAGGTGTTAGTTGACGTGCATATTAAACACATCGATACTTTAAAAAAGTACACTAAGAACGAAAACACATTTTAAATATCTCTGTTTAATTCGCATTTTAAAAATTGTCATCTTCCGTACAAAAAGCAAAAAAAAATTGCATTGTTAAATCGACCATTAGTTACTTTGTCTTAAGAAGATTTTCAGTATATCATAAATCATTAACATGCAATATCAAACAACAATATCAAAATGATATATTGCATATTTGCAGTTATACTCCCTTTCTGTAAATATGTGAGGTACTATTTATATATATCATAAAATGGTGAGATTGTGATAATTAGAAATCAACTACATATTATGAACATAAGCCAGTCTTTTAAATCAATTCTGTAAGCAATTCCCATTTGGCAAGTTAAGAAATATTTGTTTCTGAAGATCAGCTACATTTTATGTATATTTGCATCAAACGTAATAAAGATATCTATCTTGAGATTTCCTTGTTATGTTTTCTGATTGTTCTGGGCACGATGTTTGCAAAGTGCGAATGAAAATTTAAAACAGCGGCAGGGAAACAAATTGAATAATTTATTTGTAATTATACTGCACTCTCTGTAAGTGACTAAATATGTAAACATTAAAGTAAAATTTAGGTGTGGTATAAAGAATCCTTCCTGTAAGATAATCCGACGGTGTCCTTCTAGGTTGTTTATCTTCTCAGGGAATCATGAATATGGACAAATCAAACAACAACAAAACCGACTTGTTTGAATTGAGCTGTTGCCGAATGTCCTTACTCTCTTATTATCACAGTTGTTTTGCAAGCTGCAACATGTCTTATCCCTACTTTAAAGATGCAATATGGACGAAAACACATTTTAATATTATTTGTAATACCCATTGGAAATAATTGTTGTTTTCCATACAACAGCAATAATAAAGCATTGTTTCATTGAATATTAGGTTGTATGTTTTAAGACCAAGGTTTACATTATATCAAACAACAATATTAAAATGATATATTGCATCTTTGCAGTTATATTTTTGTTTGCGACAAATTCAACTTACGCATGTCCATGTAGTCAACTACAGATCAACTACATGTTTGTAATGTATTTATGTTCGTAATGTGTTTATGTTCGTAATATGTCTGTTATTTTAATATTAGTCAAGAAAGAAATTGAAAAAGAAAGAAGAGAAACAGCCCACCATAGTGATCAGTCTGATAATATTATGAAAATGCGGCCAGAGTTTGGCAAGGACGCTCAAGATCTGTGGCCCTCAACAAAGATACTACTCACAAATCCGGCATTTATGTTCGTGTGCGCTGCCCAGTGTTCGCAGAATCTCTTGCTGTCTGGTGCTGCACCATTTATGCCGAAATTTTTGGAAAACCAGTTTTCGTTGACATCAACACAGGGTGCGGCTCTTGTAGGTGAGTTTTTAGCGTGAGGTTAGCGTGGATTATCGTGTGGTTAGTGTGTGGTTATCGTGTGGTTATTGTGTGGTTAGCGTGGGTTATCGTGTGGTCAGTGTGTGGTTAGCGTGTGGTTAGCGTGTGGTTAGTGTGTGGTTAGTGTGTGGTTAGCGTGCGGTTAGTGTGTGGTTAGCTTGGGTTATCGTGTGGTTAGTGTGTGGTTAGCGTGTGGTTAGCGTTTGGTTAGTGTGTGGTTAGTGTGTGGTTAACGTGGGTTATCGTGTGGTTAGTGTGTGGTTAGTGTGTGG